CCACACACACACACGCGCGCGCACTTTCCCTCTTTATCTGCACAGAGTCAAAAAAAAAAGCACATTATCAGCATTGTGACATTAAATTTTTTTTCATACATCCGATAAAATCTCTCTCTCAAACCGACCAAACCAATTCATCTCTCTTCTCTCTCCCTCTGTCTCTGTCTCTGTCTTGGTCTCTGTCTCTGTCTCTGTCTCTCTCTCTGTCTCTCTCTCTGTCTCTCTCTCTGTCTCTCTCTCTGTCTCTCTCTCTGTCTCTCTCTCTGTCTCTCTCTCTGTCTCTCTCGCTCTCTCTCTTTCTCTCTCTCTGTCTCTCACCAAATCAATTCATCTCTCTCTCTCTCTCTCTCCCTCTCTGTCTCTCTCTCTGTCTCTCTCTCTGTCTCTCTCTCGCTCTCTCTCTTTCTCTCTCTCTTTCTCTCTCTCTGTCTCTCACCAAATCAATTCATCTCTCTCTCTCTCTTCTCTCTCTCTTCTCTCTCCCTCTCTCTCTTCTCTTTCTCTCTCTCTGTCTCTGTCTCTCTCTCTCTCTCTCTCTCTCTCTTCTCTCTCTTTTCAATCTCTCTCTCTCTGAATGAGCATCCCATACGATACACACACTTTATCCAGGGTACGTATTGAGAGCCCCATGATGTGCGTACAGCGAGAGGACGTCCCGCTTTCTGCCCCGTGTCCTCTTGTGTGTGTGTGTGTGTGTGTGTGTGTGTGTGTGTGTGTGTGTCCTGGCGGACGGGCGGGCGTTCCTGGGGCTTGGCTCGCTTGTGTCTGCGCTCGCTTGTTGGCCCCTTCTTCTGTTTCTGCGTGCGTGTCCTCTTGTCTCTCTGCGCTCTGTCGCACCGCTGAGGACTGACGCTGACCTTGCACCGTGTCTGTGCGATCTTCGCGCGTCCTCTGTGATCTTGCTCTTTGCGATCGATCACCGCCTGCGCTCGTTCGCCCCCTGTGCCCGACCTCTGTGCTCGTGCTTTGTGATCATACTGCGTGTTGGTTCTTCCTCTTTGCCCGTCGTCCTTTTTTGTGGCTCGTGCGGTCTCGGATCTGATCCTCAGATCTAAACGTTGGTGTTGAGATCTGATCATTGGTCCGTGCGTGGCCCATTCTCCCCGGGTGCTGCTGCCACCGCCGACTCTTTCTCCCCCGACCGCGTCGACAAAGCCTTTATCGACGCCATCGTCGTCTTTGTCTTTTTCGTTTTTTTTTTTTTTTTCGGCAATCTCGCTTGTCTCTCATCCTCTGCTCCTCCGACCCTTTACCGTCCACCTGTTGCTGGCAAAGGCGTCCTCGCCTTGTTCACATCAGTCCATAGACGCCATACTAGCTGGTTCACCAGACCAGCACCCTTGCTTTGTTCGTCCCGCTCCTTGTCCGGCCCCGGGGGGCTCGACCCTTTTCCTTTTCCGGAGCTCGACCCTTTTCCGGAGCTCGATCGACGGCGAGAGGACATCAGCCAAAGTGCCTCAGACGACAGGATGCGGCTCAAACACCAAGCCAATGCCCATGCATGGATGTTGCTGGCAATCATGGCGATTGCGAGTCGGGGTAAGCTGAAAAAAAAATCTTGGCACACGCCGCGAACTCATGAAAAAAAAAAAAAGAGAGAGAGAGACAGAACCATCACGACTGATCCACCTCCGATGCCGATGGCACCTCATAGATGTGGCAGCCGATGTTCTTACAGTGTCCGTAGGATCTGGCAGCTTTGATGACCTTGGTGAGCTTTTCTTGATGGGATGCTAGTGCCGCAATCGCCTACCCTGCTTACGACATTTGACCGTACGTTGTAGATCCCGTTGCTTGGGAAAGCGACATTTATCTGCAATTTGTCTTTGGCAACCGCGTCCACACTACAAGCACAATTGAAGACGACAACTGTGCGCCCCTTTGCCTTCACCCGCCTTTGCCCTCACCACACCATACGGACCGTGTTACTTCAGCTGATCCCACGCAACCTCGTCCCTTTCCTCCATTATTGCTCCCCTTTCGTTGCTCCCTTGCTCGGCCTTTAGACCCCGACTGGAATGGACAGACGATTACCATTTCTTTGGTTTCTAGAACCGTCAGTGGCTCGCCGTGTGCTCATCCCCTTCGGCCTTGGACATTGATTTATCTTGCTCATGCCGTATTCCGGGCCATGCCCTTGCCCGCACGGGTGACGCTTTGCATTGACCTGCTAGTCATCGATAACTGTCCGCGCTTACGACGCTGACGTCGGTTCACTCGACGAATCAGTTAGTCTATCAATGCCAAACTCTTTCCTTCCCACCCCATGTTTGATTCCTGATTCGACCTGACAAGCGCACTTGCCTTCCCCCCTTCATCAGGCAGGCTCGACAACCATGAGCAGCATCCATGTGTATCGGCAACGCCGTACACTGAGATTCTCTCGCGGTTCAGTCTCAGTCACTCTCACATACAACCCTTGTGAGTACCCATCGCCAAGCATCTTGACCGGCTTGAAGGGCTCATGACGTTTGTCCTTCACCCATTCTACACAATCGAGCGCAGATAATGTTTGTTACGCAGGCACCGACAACTGCGGAAGCAACACGGCCTGCGTGTTCACAGGCCATAGGGCCTACGTCTGCCAATGTAACGCGGGCTACTATCACCCCTATAGCGGGAGCAGGAACGGCATCTCATGCACCCCTTGGCAACAATGCAATGGCACTGAATACGAGCACAACGAACCAAACGCCGTGACAGATCGAGAGTGTCGAACCTGCGTGACTACCTCATATGGAGCCGATCCGACACGCGGGGATCAAGTAGTTGCCGTTGACAACTGCGGCGGCCTTCGCTTCGAAGCCACTGCAGGCGTCCACATGAACGGGGTCAACGTCCTTGACCGCTTGAACGTGCTCGAGGATCTCGTCAAACTTCATCCCGGATTTGTCGTGCCTGAACCCGAGACACTTGTGGCCAATACCGATGCACCATCCATTGCTGTGGACAACAACGGCACCCTCCACATCAACGCCTCAGGTCGCATCCTGATCAACGGCGCTGATCTCGCCGAGCGCTTTACCCTGCTTGAAGCGTTGGCTCAGCTCCACCCCGATCTGCCACCGCCTCCACCCAACGAGCATCAGAGCAATGTCACCGAGCCCTCCATCTCCATCGGCGACAACAACTACCTGCTCATCGACGCCACCAATGGCATTCTGATTAATGGCGTCGATGCCTTGGAGCGGCTGCAAGTTGTAAAATCGCTGGTGCAGCTCCACCTCGAATCACTGGTGCCGCAGTTTGAGAGGCGTGCCATTTCCACCACCGCCGACGGAGCATCTGTGGTGCTTGCAGTCGACCTGGACAACGACGGCAACGTGGATGTCCTCGGTGCCAGCATAGAGGACAGCACCATTGCGTGGTTCCGCAACAGTGGAAACGGCTCTTCTTTCCAGCGAAACGTCATTACGGCCTCTGCAGTCGATATCGCGTCAGTGCATGCGGCAGACCTGGACGGCGATGGCGACAGCGACGTCCTCAGCGCCAGCTTTATCGATGACAGAATTACGTGGTACCGCAATAACGGAAACGGGACATTTGATGATCATGTTACCATTACCAACGCGGCTACTGAAGCGCGCTCAGTGTACGCAGCGGATCTGGACAATGACGGCGACCTCGATGTCCTGAGCGCCGCCTATGGTATCGACACCATTGCGTGGTATCGCAATGATGGCACCTTTTCCGGCCCAATTGTCATCACCAACGCTGCCAACGGCGCGTTCTGCGTACATGCAGCTGACCTTGATAACGACGGAGATATGGATGTCCTCAGTGCTAACTCAGTTGGCAATACGATCACCTGGTACCGCAACGACGGCACGGGCGTGTTTCCGCAGACACTGTTCGTTGCTTCCTCTGTCGATAGCCCGCGATCCGTCTATGCAGCAGATCTCAATCAGGATGGCTTCTTGGATGTCATCAGTGCCAACAGTGGCGACAATAGTATCGCATGGTACCAAAACCAGGGTGGCACTGGGTTTTCAGCGCCACATGTCATCACTACGACTGCCTCCTATGCCTTGGCAGTCTACGCAGCGGATCTGGATCAAGATGGGGACATGGACGTTCTCAGCGCTAGCGTAGTTGATAACAAAATTGCTTGGTATCGCAACAATGGCCAAGGCTCCTTTTCCAGCCCTTTTGTCATCTCGACCTCCGCCCTTTACGCGTATTCAGTCTACGCTGCAGACCTGGACCACGACGGTGATTTGGACGTACTCAGTGCCAGCAATTCCGACAACACGATTGCGTGGTACGCCTCCAATAGCCAACAGAACGACAGACTCCGAGACAGTATCCGGACGTGACCGATCATGATATTTTTAATTGACATGTGACTAGTGCAGCTTTGATCCAATGTGCAGTCGCGAGGCGGCGGAGTTTGCAGGCGAATTAGTAATAAAAAAAGGTCGGCCATTTCTGTACAAACTTTTTAAAGAAGAAGAATTGACATTTTTACCACTTTTGAACCTTGACAAGTCATGTACATTACTGACCTCGACCGCCAGATGAAGAAAGTCGTGCCACAGCTGGCACGGACGACTCGACTACCCCAGTCAAATTTGAAGTCGGCTTGACGATGAGGAGAAGGAGACACGAGTGAGCTGTATAGCTTTGCAAGTTCGTGCCAACACAGATATCGCACAAACCGACTTGCAAATGCTCCCAAGCACCTTGGCAACCAGACACGCATCTACTGCATCCCATTGCCACAATACCCTACCCAAGCCCAACCGGTATCGATCGATCAGCTCGCGCAGTGCCACAGCCGCCACTACCCGAGACACACGATTGTCATCAGTTGATGTCATGGTGGATAGAGACGAGGTGGCTCCCCACGCTATTTCGGTGATTGTTGGACTGTTTTGCTTGAAGCGTTTGGCAAACCCCGCCCTGCCCGTTTGACTTTATTTTCGGTTTGCATAGCATTGACAAACCACAAGCGTCACCCATTTCAATTCGTAGGTGTGACTTGAGCGGCCAGGCAGTCACAAAACATTTGTAGGTCTTGAAGATTGAACAATTGCGGATCCACGCGCGAGCCGATGCTATAGAGAACAGCAGCAACGCACCGGCGTCTCATCTGCTCCGCATGAATCAAGCCTTGAACTGCCGCCACATTGAAATCCGATGAGAGCAAGACAATGCGGACAATCACATGTGAATCAAATTTGCACCTTGGGAATTCAAAGTTTGGGAGCAAGGGGTACGGCTTGCGCCCAATAGTTCTTCAATTAGCTACAAAGTGAAACAGGTTCATCGGTGAGCAAGCTTGCCTCTGCAATGAATACCACGAATAAAAAAAGAAGGCCCACCTCCCGCTCGATGGGGTCTCCGCGAATGAGCAAATCCAAGGGTCGTGCACCCGTCTGCCACAAGAGGCCATCAGGTGTCAATTGCGGGTGCAGCAGAATAGCGTAAAAAAAAAAGGCATCGTGGTTGAAGGCTTACAAGATCTCTCGCATCCGGGTCGGCACCGTGCCGCAAGAGTTGGCGGATAACCTTTCGGTTGACAGAGATGGGAGTGCAGACTGTATGGAGCGGCGTTTGGCCGTCCTATATGATGTGCTCAATGTTTGAGATCATGAGGAACAAGTTCTTGGCGGGAGGAAGATACAGCAGGAAACAAGACGGGGTGGAGGGAGCACCGACGAGGAGAGGACGCGAAACGGTGAAAGAACAGGGATAGGGGGAAAGAAGAAAAGAAGCAAGGGGCAGAACGAACGCGGACGGGGAGCAGGGTGTAGAGGACAAAAAGACGGCACAGAGGCGACGAACAGCGGGAACAGCAGCAGCCGCCAGAGGAAAAGGAAGGAAGAGGAAGGAAGAGGGAGATGCTGTACTGACGTCGGTCTTGGCGTCAGTATCAACACCGTGCTCCAACAGCATCTCCACCACCTCGACACGACCCTCACGGCAGGCCCAGTGCAGTGGTGTCCAGCCAAACTGTGGAATGATGCATCGGCATTAGGTACATCATCATCATCATCATCATCATCATCATCATCATCATCATCATCAGCATCAGCATCATCATCATCATCATGTGGTCCAGGTGCACCATCATAGGGGGTTTAAAGGGGAAGGAGGGTACTGTACTGTACTGACGTTGGTCTTGGCTTTAGCATCAGCACCGTGCTTCAACAGCATCTCCACCACCTCGACATGATCGTTAAAGCAAGCCCAGTGCAGTGCTGTATGGCCATCCTGTAGGAAGATGCACACAATGTACACAACATCCACATGTCAGTGACACATCCACTTTGTAGCCAGTATCACTTGACAGCATACCAAACAGCATACGTACCAAATTCTTGTATTGGGCGGCAGCTTGAATACGTTCATGGTCCCAACTGGTCAACAGCTGCACCGCCTTTTGTCGATTTGATACACACGCCCTGAACAGCTGCGCTCCATCATCACTCATGGTATCGGTATCTCTCTGTCTCTATTCTCCATCCGCTTCAAGGGACCTTTTGCTTCCCCTATCCACCAGGAATCTCATGAGCCCCCTCCAAGTACAACTCGTCTGACAATCCAAAGTTACGGATCTGCGTTCCCAAAACGGCAGCCGGTCAGTCACCCTTGTGCTTCCCCCCTGATGCGCCAAGCGACTGACCTCTGGCAAAAGCCCCGTTGATCAGCTTCAAAGGGGAGGGGGGGGGTGGTAGTTGAAGCAGCGCACGATCGGTGACCTTCACACCCACTGAAAAAAAAAAAAAAAAAAAGTGGCAGTGGATCTCTTTCAACCAAACCGACAAGGCCTCACCGCAAGGGAAGCTGCCGTACCACCAAAAATGCAAGCAGGATCAAGACCCCGCACGCAATAGCCCAACGCAACCAGCAGCCAGACCCCGATGCCGATCCCGCAACCCGCGACCCGATCCCGATCCCTCGATGCTAGCAGAAGCAGAAGCAGAAGCAGAAGCAGAGAAGCAGAAGAAAAGTGCAACACCCACACCAAAGGTTTTGACATAAGAAGAAAAAAAAGAAAAAAGAAGATTTTGTGAGTCAAATGTAAAATGTAAATCCGCCTTGGCTGTGTGCTCTTTTGAAACGTCATGTGTGTGTGTGTGTGTGGTGTGTGTGTGTGTGCGTGTGTGTGTGTGTGTGTGCGTGTGTGTGTGTGCGTGTGTGTGTGTGTGTGTGTGTGTGTGTGTGTGTGTGTGTGTGTGTGTGTGTGTGTGTGTGTGTGTGTGTGTGTGTGTGTGTGTGTGTGAGTTGGTGGGTGGGGTGATACCGCCTTGGCTCGACACATTCGCACTCGTTGCCCCTGTAGAAAAGGGCCAAGACAACAATAACAATAACAACAACAACTACAACTACAACTACAACTACAACTACAACTACAACTACAACTACAACTACAACTACAACTACAACTACATGTACAGCAACAACAACTACAACAACACCGGCGTTATGGGCTGCAGTGGCGCATCTCACCATGGATACCTTCTGCCGCCATCGATGCATCATAACTCAAGCAGCAAATGCGAGTTGTTGTCGCAGCAGGTTGACATCCATCACGAAATCGCGCGATCAAAAGTCAAGCGTAGAGCCCGTATTGCTCCAAGCTATGCTGCTCGACATGGGCAGTGCGTCTCGGTTGCTATCCAAACGAGCCTCTTTCAATTATGTTGCGGCTCTTTCACGACCAGCAGCCATACCGCAGCCGTATCGAGCCAAGACTTGCACAAGAACACGCTCCAAGTACACTCTAATACGGATGTCGAAAGACAAGCAGAGCTGGAAAGTGTTGGAGTAACAGCGCTGTCAGTGCCGTCACCTGATCCACTTGTGTTTGAGCTCTTGAGTGCTGTTGTTGCAGAATGGCCAGACACTCCTGTTTGGCATCCTCGTCAGCTTGACGGTCAGGTTGTAAGGCATCTAGAGCAGAAGTTTGCATGGCGTCGACAAACCAACATCAAGCGTCATCCATTTCAATTCGTAGCTGCAGCTTGAGCGGCCAGGCAGTCACAAAGCGTTTGCAGGTCATGGGTATTAACAATTGAGGATCCACGCGCCAGCCGACGCTATAGAGAACAGCAGCAGCACACCGCCAGCCTCCACCACACCGATGTGACCGTACGCGCAGGCCCAGTACAAACACCCTGGCGACTAGACACGCATCTACAATCGCCACGATGCCCTACCCAAACTCAACCGGTAGCGATCGCTCGCATAACAGGACCACCGCTCAACGCCCTCGTCACCAGCTCGCGCAGCGCCACAGCCATTTATCAAAACACCATTGTCATCAGTTGATGTCAATGACGAATAGAGAGACGAGGTGGCATCCCACGCTATTTCGGCGGTCTGCTTCAGGTGTTAAGCAAAGCCCGGCCTGCCCGTTTGGCTTCAATTTTGTTTGCACAGCGTCGACAAGCCAACATCAAGCGTCATCCATTTCAATTCGTAGCTGCAGCTTGAGCGGCGAGCGGTAGAGCGGCCAGGCAGTCACAAAGTGTTTGTAGGTCCTGGATATTGAACAATTGAGGATCTACGCGCCAGCCGATGCTATAGAGAACAGCAGCAGCGCACCGCCAGCGTCTCATCTGCTCCGCATGAATCAAGCCTTGAACTGCCGAAACATTGAAACCCAATGAGAACAAGACAATGCGAGCAATCACATGTCAAGCAGGTTCGCACCAGTGGGATTTGCAGTTTGATAGGAGCAAAGGGTACGGGTTGCGCCCAATAGTTCCTCAATCACCTATCAAGCAAAACAGGTCCATCGTTGAGCAAACTTTTGCCTCTGCAATCAATACCACGAGTTAAAAAAAAGGCCCACCTCCGGTTCGATGGGATCCCTGCGAAGAAGCAGATCCAAGGGTCGTGTACCCGTCTGCCACAGAAGGCCATCAGCTGTCAAGTGCGGGTGCAGCAAAACAGCGGCAAAGGTATGGACGGCATCGCGATAAAAGGCTTACAAGATCTCTCGCATCTGGGTCGGCACCGTGCCGCAAGAGCTGACGGATAACCTTTCGGCTGGCAGAGATGTTACTGCAAATTGCATGGAGCGGCGTTTGGCCGTCCTATATGATGTGATCAATGTTTGAGACCATGAGGAACGAGCTCCTCGCGGGAGGAAGATACAGCAGGAAACAAGACGGGGTGCAGGAGCACCGATAAAGAGGAGAAGAAGGAAGAGAGGGGTACTGCACTGACGTTGTCCTTGGCTTCAGTATCAACCCTGTGCTCCAACAGCATCTCCACCACCTTAACATGACATTTTTGGCAGGCCCAGTGCAGTGGTGTCCAGCCATCCTGCGGAATGATGCATCACAGGTGCAGCATAATGTGATACAGGTCTGTACCATCATAAGGGGGTGAGGGAGGTACTGTACTAACGTCTTCCTTGGCTTCAGTATCGGCACCGTGCTTCAACAGCACCTCCACCACCTTGACATAACCTCTATTGCAGGCCCAGTGCAGTGGTGTATAGCCATACTGTTGAAGCATTACGTGTGGGTACAGCATCATCATTGTCATAGGTGCACCAGCATAGAGAAGTAAAGGGGGGTATTGTACTGACGTTGGCCTTGGCTTTAGCATCTGCACCGTGCTGCAACAGCATCTCCACCACCTTTACATGACCGTTTTGGCAGGCTCTGTGCAGTGGTGCGTCGCTATACTGTGGGATCATGCATGCCCCCGTGTTACACCAAAACGACACCACATTCGGCGACGAATTTAAAGCGTTACCAATTTCACACAGAATAAGACGTACCAACGATTTGAATTTGGCAGCATCTTGAATACGTTGGTGGTCCCAACTGCTCACCAGCTGCAGCGCCTCTTGTGGATCTGACGACCAGCAGGCATTGTACAGCTGCACTCCAGCATCACTCATCTCTTTTGCCTCCTCTATTCACCACGAATCTCATGAGCCCCCTCCAAGTACAACTTGTCTGACACCCAAGATGTCGGACTTCCAAAACGGCAGCAGGTCAGTCACCCTTGAGCTTCCCCCCACCCCCGCCTAATGCGCCAAAGAGCTTAGCTCTGGCAAACAGCACCGGTGATCAGTTGCAAAGGGAGGGTGTAATTGGTTGAAGCAGCGCACGTCGTCGACCGGGAAATGAGATCGGTGACCTTCACACAAAAAAAAAAAACTGGCAGAGGTGCTCTTGAAACCAAAAGACTTGTCAGGGAAAAAGTTGTTGTATCACCAAAAAGCGAGCGGGATCAAGACCCCGCACGTAATAGCCCAACGCCTCCAGCAGCCAGACGTTGATGCCGATCCCGCGAATCGATGTCAAACAGCAGAAGATGCTAGCAGTTACAGAAAAAAAATGTAACCAACACCAAACCAAACAAGGCGGGCTCGACATGAGAGCAACGCGTCTCCTCCTGGCAGGCCGGGACTCATTTGACATCGGTGTGCTCTGCCATCTCGAGTGCGACGGAGCATTGGCGGTTTCGTGCTGGTGGTCTTGGGCAAGTATGAGCTTGGTACGCGGCTGCTCTTTCACGACCAATACAATTGAAAGAGGTTCGTTTGGATAGCAGCAGTGAGCGATCTCGCACACACACACACACACACACACACAGGACATGAAGGTCTGACTTAAATTGCTGACAATCGCCACCCACTCTTGTGTCTCCCAGTCTCCATTTTTATCGCCCCAGTCTCCGCGCAGACTCGGTACGTTGCCAGTGGAACAGGAAAAAAAAAAAAAAAAAAAAAAGAGAGAGAGAGATTTGAGGTTCAAGTCAGTGAAACGGCAGCGCCGCGGTGGCCGCCATCCCCTTGACTGTGGCCTTGAGCACCGGCCTGGTGGCCAGACAACTGCCCATCTTCATGTTTTCAAGTTTACAAAGGCTGCGCTTGACGCTCTTAACGGCCTGTTCCTTCTGTTCAATGGAGCTGCAAAGTGGCATCTCGTTGTGTGTGTGTGTGTGTGTGTGGCGTTGACGTGTATCGTGACGAATTACGGCAGCGCAAGGCCCCAGCATCCTGTATCTGTGCATCACTTGCAGCCTTGATGCTTCTCCTTGCCTGCCGTTTTTCTCGATGCATCCATGTCAAGTGCTTTCGTGTCCTCATGTCACTGTACCACTTTGCCTTGTGCTTGGCTGGTTATGTGACGTTGGTCTTTTTCTGTTTGTTTTGCGTGTGGCTGTCTTTCAAAGGGCAGTCGAGGTTCTCAGCACCATCTCCCCTGCGCCTTCAAATGCACTGGTCTTCCATGGGAAAGCATTCAACACTGCCGCACTTTCTTTTGCTCCCACTGCCATTTTTCCACTGTCAATACGGCTCACTGCACCTTTTTTTTTTTTTTCCCCCTCATCAGCATCCAAGGCCTCCATCTGCTCGAGTCACATCAACGCTCGACTTTTCGTTTTCCCTACTCTCTGCCGCAACGGTACGTCGAGTCAGATAAGCTGCCACGTTTCACGTCTATCTGCACGGGCTTTTGTCTCTTCTGGGAGCCCCGGTTTTTTTTTTCTGCTCACGACGGGTCTGTCTGCCTTTTTAGATGGCGACGGCGGAGAAGAAAAAGGCCTCGGCCAAGACGACACCAGAGGCCAAGGTGGCCGACAAGGAGGAGACCATGGATACAAGCGCCGACACCGTGGTGGACCACGCCAAGCTCGCCTTTGCAGGTTAGTGCCAAACTGGAAGCGTTTCTGATCCGCACTTTGCTCATCAAGGCCGTATGCACATTTCAGACATTGAGCGCAATGTTACGCTGCTCCGCGAGTCGGTCAAGCAACACGAGCCCCGCTACAGTTATCGTGCGCTTCGCAAACTCAACTCGCTGCGCAAGCGCCTCACCCCCGAAGTCTTGGCCAAGGCCCTCAATTCACTCTGGCCCGCCACCGATGATGCCGGTCAGCTTTGTTTTTCTTTCTTTTTTCTTTCTTTCTCCTTTTTTTCTTTTTCCTTGGTGCTTTGTCTTTCCAAGTTGGTGTTCAAGTTTCCAGCAGGACAAAGGCCGCTCACCCTTTGCGCATGCGCCTGGTGCCACCTTTGTGGATAGAATCTGGTGAGGACCGTGCCTTGCTGCTCAAGAAACTTGGTGTTGCGGCCGAGAGCTCCGCCATGGACACGGAGGAGGATGCTAGCCCCGCGACCAACAACACCAACGCAGACATTGGTCAAGTTGAAGTTCAGCTTTACCTCCACCTTCTCACGGTCATCCTCCTTCTCGACCAGCAGCGTCTTGATGAGGTTTGCTCGTGGGATTATTGGGTGGAGCCCGCTCCTACGCACACCCAAAAGCCTCACGTCAACTTTACTGCCGCCATAGGCCAACGAGGTATCCACGGCCCTGGTGACGCGCATTGATAGCCTCACACGGCGCAGTGCCCACGTTGTAAGTTGACAACGTCTTTGGCATGCGCATGACTTCCTGGGCCCGCGCTGTGTTGGAAAGTCATTCACTCCTCGTTGATGCTTCTAGCTTGGAGCACGGGCATTCTTCTTCCATGCCAGGATATGCGAGTGCCAGCCGCGGGTAGGCGCCCCATTCCCGCCCATTTTCAGCATTCTCATTATATATTGCGTCGCAAAAGCTCACGCGCGTTCGCTCGATTTTCTTGTGGTGTCAACAGCATGTTCCAGCGTGCGCTGCGCAAGGCCTCTTTGGCCAACAACGAGGACGGACAGGCGGTCATTATCAATGCACTCCTTCGCTCCTTGCTTCAGGATCGTCTGTATGATCAAGCCGACCTGTTGGTCTCGAAGACAGACTTTCCGGAGAGCGCTCAAAATGCCGAAGCCGCTCGCTACCAGTATTACCTTGGTGCGTGCGTGTCATGGCGAGCCATGATTTTGCACTTGCGGTGTTTGTTTGTTTGTTTTGCGTTGTGACAAAGTCTTTCGCGCTGCCACCTCTCACCTTACGCTTGTATGTGCGCTTTGATGGACCCAGGTCGCATCAAGGCGATCCAGCTTGATTACTCGGAGGCCTATCAGCATTTGATTGAGGCAACGCGCAAAGCACCATCGGGCGCCTCGGGCTTTTTGCAACACGTGCACAAAGTATTGGTGATTGTGCAGTTGCTCATGGGTGACATCCCCGAGCGCGAGCTGTTCCGTCGCCCGGCGCTGCGCAAGTCGCTCGAGCCTTACTACCAGTTGACGCATGGTGCGTCCTTGTGTCGTCTCGTCAAACGATTGATATCCTTGTTTGGTTGGCTGGTGAGGCGCGCGGGTGTGGGGACAATTTTGCTCACCTTTGGCGCACTTGCCTGTGAAACGTAGCTGTGCGTCGAGGTGACCTGCGCACCTTTAATCAGGTTGTGCAAGAGTTTGGGGCCAAGTTCAAGGCCGATGAGACTTTTACTCTGATCATGCGCCTGCGACACAGTGTCATCAAGACGGGTGTTCGCAAGCTCAGCCTGAGCTACTCGCGCCTTTCGCTCGCCGATGTTGCTGCCAAGCTGCACCTTGAATCGGCTGATGAAGCCGAGTACATTGTCGCCAAGGTAAGGGCTTTGGGTCGACATCTTTTTTGCTTTCATTTGCTTCAAGTCTCTCTTTTCATTTTTTTGTTGTCCTTTTTTTTTTTTTTTTTTTCCACTGTTGCAAAAATCATGATATCGTTGTGTGTGTAGGCCATTGGAGATGGCGTGATTGACGCACAGATCAACCATGCAGAGCAGTACATGACGTCGCAGGAGGTGGTTGACCTGTATGCAACGGGAGAGCCACAGGAGGCTTTCCATCAGCGCATCAACTTTTGTCTCAAGGTGCACCGTGACAGCGTCAAGGCGTTGCGTTTTGCGCCCAACGCATACCGCAAGCACCTGAACGATGCCGAGGTACGTCAGATGGATTTCGACCCAAAAGCTGAGCAGGGCAACGGCGAGTGGGCGGCAAGAGAGGGATGTGGCTATGGAGACTTTGGAACTGGGCTCATGGGCCGTGTTTCTTGCAGGAGCTCGAGCTGGAAGAAGACATTGATGTCAGTGAAGATGTCGAGGTGGATGAATAAGCCACTATGGGCAGTGGAGGCTCGTGCCCATGGCTCGCGGCGTGGCTCCCACATTTGACTGTTTGTCCCACTGTTGACAACCTGTTGTTCTTGTTCTTGTTCTTGTTTTTGTTCTTGTTCTTTGCCCGTTCTCTGTCATGCTGTCACCCCTGTCCATCCGAGCAAAAAGCTTCTTTGGCTCGCAATTGCAACCCCCTCACCCTATCCCTCCCAAGCCGTCCGCGCGCGTTTGGTTTGTCTGACAATTCAAACGCCTTTTTTTGAAGGGGGGTTTGTGGAGGACAAGGCTGAATTTCTTCCCCTCTATTTTCAATTTTTCTCTCTTTCTCTCTCTCTCTCTCTCTCTCTCTCTCTCTCTCTCTCTCTCTCTCTCTCTCTCTTTCTCTCTCTCTCTCTCTCTCTTATTTCTCTCTCTCTCTCTACGACAGCTTGATTGAGGAGGCGCGATGCTGGGGTCGTGAGTACATCGGGTGGCGTTGAGCTGGATTACGGCGTTGCTCTCTTGTCGGGGGGCTGCGGCTGGAGAGGTGATACAAAGATATAAGGGCCTCCTGTTTTTTTTAACAAACCCCTGCCGCGATGGGCCTTGAACGTACCGGAGCAGGAGGTGGCGCGTCGGCAACATGTCGGGGCAGGGGTGTTTGGAGGGCTCGTACGCTTTCCTCGCTGCGCCTTCCCTTGCCACTGCTGCTGGCGGTGCTGCTGGTACTGGTCAACGTGGCGCTTCGAGGCGCTGTTCAGGCTGATATCGTGCATGGATTGGCAGTGGTCCAGCCCCGTTTGGTACTTGAACAACAACAACAACAACTCGATCCGTTTCGAAACATGACCGCGCCACGGACCTGGCCCGCACTCCTGGTTCAATGGCTCGGCCCCTGGGCCGACTTTGCGCCGAGTTATCAAACCTCGCATCGGGTTTACCCCGCAAAGGCCGATTCCCGGGCGCTCGGCTCAGCGACACCCCTGCCCGTCTTTGAACTGCTGCAACGACCCGGCACGCTGACAGCCCTCGTGCAAGACGACGCCGGCGCCCTCGTCTATCGTTCAGACACTCAAGTTGCGCCCATCCCGCCAGACCTCAATACTTGGGACAAACTGTTTCAACACATTCAAACCCACCAACCCACCAGCTCTCTGGTCATTTTTCCCGAGCGCTTCTCTCACACGTTTGCCCTCGACCTTGACCCCTGGCTCTACGACGACTATTACCAAGCCCTGACCGACGCCTTCAACGTCCCTGTAACGCAACATGTCTACATTACCGGCCCCGCCGGTCGTGCCCTCAACCCGCACACCGATGGCGGTGATGTCTTTGTTCGCCAGATATCCGGGTCCAAACATTGGCAACTCTGCGTCCCCCGCCTCCAGGACCCCTCGGTTTGCCAACCCTCCGCCCCCTCCCCCACGGCTCACCCGTGCACCGATGGTGCCCGCGCTCGCTACGCCGAATGGAAACGCGACCAATTTGAGGGTTGCACCCCGTACACCATGGGCCAGCTTGCTGACATGGACTGCAGCAACATCACCCTGCACCCAGGAGATACCCTCTACCTCCCACGTGGCATCGTCCATCACGCCTGGACCGACTCTGGCATCACCAGCACCCATGTGACTTATCAACTTCAGAGCAAAGACGCCACTCTCTTCGACCGCCTTCGCAACCAATGTTACGCTCGTGCCAGCACCGGCACCCGCTGGTGTGACTCACTTGACAACCTCGTCGCCAACAACTTTCCCCATGCTACCAGCGACCTTCTTCGTCTCGCATCCACTCTTCACGAGGTCTGCACTCACGACTGCAACAGCACCGCCCCTCCTCAAACTCTGGTTGTTGTTGTTTTTTTTTAACATGTTGCTCTCTTCCACTTGTTTTCTCACTTGACCACACTCTCCTCGTTCGTCTCCTGCAGGATAAAATTGCAGCCATGTTATGGCAGCTGCGCTTCAACTACAAAGACTTGATGACTACTCTCGCTCGGCCACGTCGAGACATTACAAGCAAAGATCATCCTCCGCCCGGGTGAGACTTTTGTAATACGTTGTTGTAAACTGCTCCTCTCTCACGTCCATGCCCGTCTGTGCCATTGTGAAAATATTCACATCTTATTACGCCATACTTTTTTTATAGATGTAATAGCGCGAGCAGTTGTGATTTTAATTGCTGGAGCGGCTGTGACTTCTGTAGTGTTTGCTGCGACGACGGCTGCATAAGTTCATGTGACAGTACGTGGATCAGGAGTTGGCTATCGTACGACGTGCAAGGACTCCGTTGACCCTCATCGGAATATGTTGTGTTTGTTTGACTCGATTTGCTAAGCGGCATATTGTCCCGGCGTGGAATGTCCTGATGATGTCCCCGCTCGACAAGGCTCTTACTGCTACTCTTGTACGTGCACGCGCCTTACTGACTGTATTGAGCGTGTTCAAATTGTGTCTCATGCTGTGTTCGCTTGTCTGCGATTGCAGCCTGGGTCGAGTGTGATGAAGGCGAATACTACGTTTCCATCGACGACGATTGTGCCAATTGCCCTTCAGGTGGGTTGCGTTGCGCGTTCTGCCTACCTTTTTATACCTTCTGGTCACATCTTGTTTTCCTCTTTGTTCGTTTTTGCTCTTGGCATCTGAATCAGACTCATCGCGCACGATCTGATCTGTTGCTTCTCGTTTGTGTCTTCTTTTGTGTGTATGTGTATGTGTATGTGTATGTGTATGTGAATGTGTATGTGTATGTGTATGTGTATGTGTATGTGTATGTGTATGTGTATGTGTATGTGTATGTGTATGTGTATGTGTATGTGTATGTGTATGTGTATGTGTATGTGTATGTGTGTGTGTGTTTTTTCTAATGATTATTACCAGGCAAATACCAAACGGACAGAGATCATATCAAACGCACATGCATCGACAAGACTGCGGCGTGCGACGCTGGCAAGTATCTTGTTGTGACTTCATCGTCCAGTGACAATTACTGTGCCACATGTTCTGAAGGAAAGTACCAGGCCAGTGCCGGTTATGCTGGCACCAGCTGCTCAGACAAGCTTGCCACCTGCGGTCTGGGTCAATATTTATCGATCTCCAACTCGGTCACCCAAGACAACTCGTGTATCAACTGCCCGGTGCAAACATCTTACCAAGACCAAGCATCACATAGCGATACCAGTTGCAAGGCCAGAGTAGTGCTGACCTGTGGGCTGGGCCAGCGTCTGGTGTATGAAGATGCCACCATGGATAATAGATGCGTTTCGTGCACGAGTGGTACCTACCAAGATCAAGCTTCGCATGCTGATGTCACGTGCAAACCCCAACGCACCTCGTGCAATGCTGGTCGCCACTTGAAGCTCGCGGACAACACTGCCGACAACACGTGCACGCGCTGCCCGGCCGGTGAGTACCATTGCCGAGCTCTCTTCAATTTACCTTTGCTCTAAATCTGATCATCGGGTGTCTTTCGTCATGTTAGGAACCTACCAAAGCCTCAATGGCTTTACTGGCACGAGCTGCGCCGCAAAGACCGCTTCATGCCCTGTGAATCATTATGTCACAAATCCCGGTTCCACATCAAGCGACCGAGCCTGCGCTGCCTGCAGTGATGGCAAATATGTACTCTCCAATAACAACGTTGCCACGCAATGCTCAGGTATGATTGTCGAATCCTAATTGAACCCTGGTTTCCAAACTCTTACTTGGCTCATTTTTCACTGGACTGTGCTTGTTTTGTTGATTTTTCTTTCCCAAATGCAAATGCCTTAGACTGTGAGGCGGGTACGCAAGGCAATGGAGTGGGCCAAGGGTGCTCGGCGTGCCCAATCAACACCTACTCGGACCAACCCGGTAGCACGTCATGCACAGGTGAGTGCGTTTGATCGAATGCTTGCCACCGCACGCTGCCTGTTTACTTCAACCGCTCAACACTGTCACTCTCTGGATCCGGTCCTACGCAGCTTGTGATTCCAGCAAAGGCTACCATACGACTCAAAGCTCGTCCACGTCTTGTACCACTTGCCCCGCCGGTACGTGCGTCGACGCTGCGTCAATCCTTCATGAGTTTGTAGCATCAATGAAACAACCAATCGGCTGGGCTTCAACTATTCTTTTTTTTTCCTCCCTCGCTATCCCCTCCCCTGTGCGTCACCACGTGTAGGCCAATACTTGACGTTTGCGTACAGCGCCGACGGTGGTTGTGTGGCCTGTCCATCTGGCAAGTACCGCAATGATGAGGAGCTGGCAGACTGTTTGAATTGCGGGGCGGGCAGGTATAGTCGAAAACCTGGTCAGTCCACGTGCAAAACATGCCCTGCCGGCAAGTATTCAGACGATGGGGCCAACGAAGAGTGCCAGGCCTGCTCCGAGGGCAAGTACTCTGGCTCGCAAGCCAGCACCTGCCAGACTTGTCCGACCGGCACCTATCAACCCAACCAGAGCAGCAGCAACTGTCTTCCCTGCGCTGAGGGTCTGACTGTTCTCGCAGACGGACGTGATTGCCAAGGTGGCGTACTACACCCTGCTCACTCATGGCTTGGTTCGATCGAGACTTGTTTCCTCAAATTCTGCTTTGACTCATTTGAGACGTTTTGCATGTTGCAACGTGGCCTTTTTCACCCCTTGCGTAGATGTTACGCCGCCTGTTATCCAGGTTCCCCTTGGCCCCATCGTGACGGAGGTATTGAATGCAAGTTTTTCTTTGCCCGCCATTACGGCTGTTGACGGCTATGACGGTCCCGTAGCCACCTCCACCCTGGATAGCTTTGACATTGGTAGGGGCTTCGACGCGTGCCGTGCTATAGCGTCATCAACATCTTGCATCTGCCCCCTCACACGGAACTTTGGTATTTTTTTTTTTTTTTAAATCCCGCGCCTTCACTTGTTTATAGCACGCGCAGAAATTCAACGTCTGAACTACACTGCAGCTGATGAGGCTGGCAACGCTGCGTGGGCCGTTTTGATTGTCAATGTGCTGGCTGCGCAAAAGCCATCCATCGTACTGTATGGAGACGACCCCATGCAACAGGAAGCGGGTGAGCCGTTTGTCGACCCCTTGGCTACTGTGCACGACTCCCTGGATCCAAATATCGGGGTGCTCAGCGACGCATCGAGCCAAGTCGATACAGCCGTCCTGGGCACCTATACTGTGACCTACCAAGCTGCACGCGCTGACCATCAAGGCTTGTGGGCCGACCCTGTGACTCGAAATGTGATTGTTGAGGATACCAAGGCACCGGTGCGTCGACATGTGAATGATCGCTGCGCGCATTTGCTTCAGTTCCTCTCCCGTGCACTCGGCGGCCAACCACATGTTTACTCATTGACTGATCTCAAAATTCCAAAATTCTTGACACGAACCATGTAGGTACTGACGCTTCGAGGAGTGGCCCGGTTTATCGTGCAAGCCACCTTTGCCTACTTGGAGCCTGGCTTTAGCGCCCAAGATGCATTTGATGGCAACTTGACTGCCATGGTGAAGCAGTCCCTCGCGAGCGCCCAAGTGGACACACACGTTCCCAGTGGCACATCGTATGAAATTATGTATACTGTTTCTGATCGTGCCGGGAATGAGGCTTCGCTCGCTCGCACTGTGGTGGTGATGGACACGTATCCGCCAAATATCCACTTGAACGGCAGTCTGGTGTTAAATCTTGAAGCTGGCACCAGTTTTGTGGACCCTGGGTATTGGGCACATGACTTGCTTGACGGGAATCGCCCTGTGAGTGTCTCCGGCAGCTACCAATCCGTTCCTTCAGTTGCAGTGCCCGCCAACTATACCCTCACATATTCCAGCCGCGACGAGGCTGGTAACCTGGGCCAGTCGCACCGCACGATTCAGGTGGTTGATACCACCCCACCGGTGATTGAGACCATTGGTCAAGTACAAACGCTGGAGGCGGCCCCGCCTACGGGTGTTTATGAACTCCAACCCGGTTGGTTCGTGGTCACAGACAACTACGTTCAATTCGGACTCGGAGGGCGCTTGCAAAGTAATGTGTCAAGCTTGCCCTTGCGACCACCCGCCCTGCCCTACCCGGCCACAGTGCTGCTGACTGTAACTGATGACAACGACAACACCGGGCATGCACACCTTGCCGTGCGAATTGTGGACAGTCTCTCTCCGGTGCTCAACGTTACCGACACGATAGTTGAGGGTGGCAGCTCCTGGCACGATGACCAACCCTGGTCTGCTTTGGATCGCATGGACGGCGATGTGCGCCAGCGAGTCCGTCGCACTTCTCTGGCTCTGGTTCATCTTGGGGGTCAGCTGCTGCCTGATACGCCCAATTGCCCCAGCGAATGGACGCATTTTGCTTCGGCAGCATCCCGTGCTGCTCAGACGCAGCGCTGGAATGTTCTTCTCAACAATAGTTGGGATGCCGTTTACACACAAGCTCCCAATGGCAGCACCTTTGTGCTAGACTATGGCGTGACCGATGCCGCCGGCAATTCAGGCACAGCCCAACGTCGTGTGACCATTCGCGACACGCAGCCCCCAATCATTGATGCGCCTGCCAGCCCGGTGCTGCTGGAATACGGGACGATCATGCGCCAGTACTCAGATCCGGCCACGGCATGGGATGCCCTTGATGGTGACTTGACCGCTTTTCTATGCTACACGATTCGAGCTTTCGATTTTGGAGGCAGTATTTTGCAGCGCGTGCCAGCCAATGCCGTCGATGGGCAACTTCTTCCCGCGAGTCCACAAAATTGGAGCACGCTGGTGTCTGCGGCGCAAGTAGCTCAAGACGGGACCTTGTTTGCACAGCACGTAAACTGGAGCCGGGTTACGGCGGCAGACTACCCCGTCAACACACAGCTGCATGTGCAATATTCGGTTACAGATGGTGCAGCCTGGACCACTACGCATCAGCGCTGGCTCAAGGTGGTGGACACCACCCCACCTGTTATCAACGTGTACCCTGCGTCCAGCACGGTGCCATTTGGGACCCGATTACCCCTCACCTGGCACGAGGCCTTGGATAATCATGACGGCAATATTTCACGGTACACGGTGGTGGAAGGCCGCCAGACGCTCAGCGTGACCCAGGTGGGAAGACATTATGTCAATTACACTTGTCAAGATCAATTTGGCAATGTGGCCACCACCGTGCAAACGATCGTGGTGGACCCGTTTGAGCGGCCCTCGCTAGAGTACATCGTTCGTGTTACCTACAAAACTCCACCAGCGTCTGCGCCAACTGCCGCGGTACTCCAGGCGACGCTGCGAAGTAAGACCAAAGAGCCATTTGCTTTTGTCGTGGGTCGTGAGGCTGGTAACACAGCTGAACCGGACATGTTCAATGCACTGCCGGACGCGCGCGCGCTGGCGCAAGACCAGTCTGTAGCGCAGTCGCGGCGGCAACTGCTTGGCTCAGCGGAAGAAACATATTTTTACGTCTGCATTCGGGATCAGAGCTCGCTAGAGTGGATATCGGGCGAAGATTTTGCGCTGCGACTGCGTGATCAGTTGAGCAGCGATCCCAACGTGGTGGACGTGACGCCCTCGGAGGAACCGACTTCTACATCCTCCAGCAATGCGAGTGCCACCACTGTCATGGTTGGTGTCATTGTGCCGGTTGTCCTGTTGGTGCTCGTAGTTGCTGCTGTACTCTATCGACGCCATGGAGGGGGTCGAGCTGCCAGCGGCAAGCGAGATGCACAGCAAGTTGGCCAGGCGGTGGTGTCACTTGACGAAAGCAGCACAGGCATGATGGAAAACCCCGTGTACCGTCCCAGCATGTCCAGCAACTCTTACGAAGCCATGTATGGCGTGGGCAGCCGGGACGAGGCCAGCACGTATGGTGTAGTTGGCGCCTCAGCCATGACCATTTCAAACTCCTTGGATTCCAGGACCGATGGCACGTACGCAAATGCTCATGGTTTCCAGAGCGAATTTCCAGAGGCGTCCTTCAGTTTGAACACAACGGGCGGGGTGCAACTTGGTGACAGGTCGCGACAATTGCCCGAAAGTGATACCGATGGGGCCTTTATTTCCATGACTCAAGATACTTATGACATGCCTAACGCCAGTGAAACAGACGGGCCTGGCGACTATGACATGCCCAATGCTCAGGAGCTCGCGACGAGCGCTCTGCAACACATGTATGCAACACCATATGAGCCACCGACTCAAGCAATGTCAGCCGAGTATGCCTCACCCTACGAACCAGCTGGTTCTACACTTGCCGAGTATGCCTCACCGTACGAACAGCCTTCCAGCTCTACGCCGCCCGAGTACGCTGTGCCAGACCACGCGACGCCGAGCACACAGCTGTACAACGTCTTCCGCAGCGCTGGGAACAGTTCGCATGGCTCAGTTGGCTCCATCCCTCAAGCGACCCACTCAGAGAGCTATGAACAACCTGTGGTGCAGGCTCAAGAAGGCGACCGGTATGAGGAACCCGTCGTCCAAGCTCAAGAAGGCGACCGGTATGAGGAACCCGTCGTCCAACCTCAAGAAGGCAATCGATACGAGGAACCTGTCGTCCAAGCTCAGGAGGGTGATCGATATGAGGAACCGGTTGCAGGGGCCCGGGAGCATGGCGGTTATGAAGAGCCTACGCAGCAGGGTCCAATGACGAGCGGTCCAGTGTATGCACAGCCCGTGACCCCGGCTGCATTCGCTTTTGGCGACGAAGCGACTGCTGCCGAGGAGCACTTGTACGGTGTGGGAACGGGGCCGGCCGACACGGCACCGGTTGAGGAAGCTATGTATGGCACGACCGAAGTCAGTGTCCCGCTTGCTGTGCAAGTGCAGGCACATTCCACGTACGTGGAAAATTTGCCTCGTGAGAAGGTAGAGCGTATGCTGAAGGGTCGTACGCCCGGCTCCTTTTTCATGCGCCACAGCGCCAACAACGACAAGTACGTGGTCTCCGCCTTGGTCGCGGCAAAGCAAGCCACGCATTACGTGGTGGAACAGCAAGGTCAGACTTGGACGTTCAACAATGAACCCGTTCCAGGTGTAACGAGCCTGAGTGAGTTGCTGCACCGTCTGTCTGAGACTGATAACAGCCTGAGTAAGATTGTGCTGCGCTCAGCAGCGTGGCTTTCGCGAGATGTGCCACCTTCGATGCAAGCTCACCTAGCACTAGAACAGCAGCCATGGTTTCATGGCCAGCTCAGCCGCGACGCGACGGAAAACATGCTGCATACAGCCTCAAAGGATGGTGCATGGCTGCTGCGCGAGCGTCGTTCGGCATCATATGCCTTATCGCTGATTCGCGCGGGAACAGTGACACACCATCTGCTAGAGTTTGATCAACAAGGCTTTGTCACGGTGAATGGCACTCGGCTGCAGCCGCGACGGCGAACGATGGAGGCGGCCATGAGCCTGCTTCTGCTTCAACCACCTTTACTCAGCAACATTGTCCTTTCCCAACCCGTTGAAAAGTCCTAAGCCTGTGCTTGACCGTTCTCATCTCAAAAAAAAAAAAAAAAAAAAAAGGCTGGGTGTGGGGGCACGAAAAGGTGTCCTTAGGTCTCTCAAGCTGTCTGAAATGATTCATTTTACTCTCTCTCTCTCTCTCTCTCTCTTCTTTTAGGCGTTTTCTCTTGATTTTTTTGTATGACTTGTTGGTTTCTCGTATTTTCTGACCTTGGTGCCATCCCCCGACCCTAGGGTCGGGGGCTATTCGTGCCGGGCAAGTAAGCACGCCGGCTAGGCTCGTGGGCGTGCGATTCACACTATTCAATTCAAAAATGGTATCTGTACTACACCCGTGACACAGGTGGTGTTATTCTGGTAAAGCACCCTGCGCCGCTTTTCCACATCAAAAAAAGGAATGAAGACATGAGGGTTCGGAAAGTTTTTTTTAACAAGACAATTTTCCTGTTTTTCCCGATGGATGTATTTGCGGGATATTCTCGAAATTGTAGAGGAGTCCTCGTCGAGTGTTACACCAAGGAGGGAAGAGACTCGAGCCACAAGCACATGCCAGTGCAGGTAGTCGACGCTGCAATAGATGCAGTCAAAATAACGAGGCGGGGAGCTTGAATAAAAATTCTATTTTTTTCATCTATCATCATGTGAAACTGGAAGCACGGTTCTAATGGCAAGAAGAAAACATGCCAGGTGTGTATGGCCCAGGTCTACGATCAAGGCATGGCTGATGGCACTGTCCTGCCATCGGTTTATTACTAATGAATGTTCAATTTGGCTGTGCACACCCAAAAGCTTGGTGCATGGGACGTCGGGGGTAAAGTAAATGGGTGGGTTCACGGGCATGTGTCGACAGCGCCCTTGGCAACGCAACGGATGGAGTAGCCGGGGCAGGGCACGAGCTGCTGGTCCACTTGCACGCGGACCTCGACGATGGATTGTGGGCTGTTGAGGAGTAGCTGGAGGGTGGCATCGGGAAGGGTGACATTGAAGCCATGATAGGGGTTGGGGGCGACGCCGGCAGGAACAAGGTCGTCACGCTCCTGATTGGCGACTTGGGTTGCACACAGCTCGCCATCAACAAGAATGGCAACGGTGGCCGGGCCGAGGCCGTGACCAGGAAGGTCGTTGTCGACGACCCAACCGGAGAGGGTGGCCTGGGTGGATGTCAGGACAAAATGGTCGACGGCGCCATCGAGACCGTTGGTGGGGCTGGAGCGGGCGGCATAGTTGGCGCGCTCGAGGATGATGGTATTGGTGACCGAGGGCGCGGCGTTGTCCTTGAAGGCGCGAATGTTGACAGCAAGCGTAGGACCCGGCCAGGTGGTGGGAAGGCCGGTGCTGGGGAGAACTGGGGCGTCGGCTTCAGGGCGGGAGCCGTCGATGGTGTACCGGAGAGTGGCCCCTGGGGTGGTACAAGAGGCAACAACGGTCATTGTGACGTTGTCGCTGGGGTCCGTAGGGTCGACGGGGTCGAGGTTGATGACGGGCATGGCAACAACCTCGCCCTGGTCGATTGTATTGTTGACCTTGTCCACGTTTGAGCTGCAGCCGGGAATCCGATCGTACATGGCCACGCTGCCGTTGCCACACGTCCAGAACCGGTTGTTTGCCACAACGGCGCTGGGCTTTTGGTTGTTGGGGCAGATGAAGGCGATGCCGCCGTGGTCGTCGTGGGGCTGTTCGCAACCGGCCATGATAAAGTTGTTGTCGTCGATTGATACGTTTTGGGAGGTGGTGGCGTGGCCAAAAACCATGATGCCGGCGCCATAGGACTGATAAAAGGTGCAGCCGGAAAGGCGGAAGCCCGTGGCGGCGGTTTCAAAATCAAAGGCACAGCCGTCGGGGCCACCCATGTATTCGCCGCGTTGATTAAAATCGGTGTTTTCAACCGAGTTGGCGCCTTCGATTGTGCCGATGATAACGTCGGTCGTGCCGTAGAGGAAGAGGTCGTGGGGTTGGTCACGGGCAAACACGGATTGGCGGAGGTGCAGGTCGCTGCCCGAGCCAAAGCCAACGCAATTGCCGTTGCAGTGAGCAACGGTGTTGCTGTCGAGGTAGAGGCCGGCCACGTTGCCACCGTTGTTGAAGAAGGCATCGAGACGAGAGGCGATGTTATTGCGAACGGAGAGGTTGACGACAGCAGCGCCGTCCACGGAGACGGCCGTGCCCCACTGAGGGTTGCTGGGGGAGTACGAGTGCATGGGGTAGTAGATGTCGCTGAAAAAGTTGTCAGCTAAGGGTTTGGTCGACGCGCACAGGTGGGGGCGGGGGTGAGGTGGTCGGGTAGTGGTCAGCAAGGCGCTGCAAGGCGCTTGAGGTGAGGGTGGGACAAACTGCAAAACGCACCAATGTCAATGTTTTGAAGGGTCTTGCCGGCTGTAGCTACGAGGGAGATGGCCTTGAAGCAGCCTTGCAGGTAAAGGTTTGTGATGGAGAGGTTGGACACGCCCACGGCACGAAGGCAGGCTTGGCGGGCGGCAGCCGAGGCGGGTCGGCTATGGCTGATACGGGGTCGTGGGGCCGTGGGATCGCCATAGGCACCGACGGTAACATTGGCGGCAAAGAAGAGCTCAAGAGGCTGGTCGAACCACACATCGCCGCGCTTGAGTAGAAAGGTGGACCCGCTCAAGGGAGCAACGGCACGCGTCTTGTTCAAACTGAGCCAGGGCTGATCGGGCGACGTGCCCGAGTTTTGATCGCTGCCCACTGTGGAAAAATAAAACGTGTCGGCTGATGCAGCGGCGATCAGCGAGATCAAAACGCCGACACACAACTGTGCGGCAGCGTAGTGGCGTGTCATCTTCCTGGCGATGCGTGCTGAGATGAACGGCGATCGCTGGGGGAGCAGAGCAGAAAAAAAAAATTAGAGGAAAGAGGACAAGCATTTGAGGTGAGTTGTTGAGATCCGATAGAGGAGAGCAGCCCGCGGGAGTGCATCATCTTTATGCACATGTGTGTGTGGGATGAGCAACGCCAGCCAGCGTGCGCTGCCACGGCTCGACAGCAGCGACAGAGCAAACACCAACAGGCAAGCGTCCCGATCACGAACAAAGATCGCAGCAACAAAACAGCCAAGCCACAATGGCCGCGCTCGCAGTGTACAAAGGAGCCGCATCAGAGCAACATGGCAGCAGCGCCGCAAGTGGAAGCGCTGCCCTTTGGCAGCAGCAGCAGCAGCAGCAGCAGCAGCAGCGGCGGCGGCGGCGGCGGCAGCGCGGCGTCAGTGATTCCGTCGTACCTTGAAACCCCGTTTGAAGAGAATGGTCATGACTTGAGTTTATTTTGAGAGATGGGCCTCAAGGTTGATTTTTTGATAGTGTTAAAACAGTAAGCTTTTCAGAGAGTAGAGTCGAGTTTGCAGGCGATTTAGAGCAAGTGGTTACGGTGTAGAAAACATCAACAATTGAAAAAAAGTACATGACAATTTGTATTAACTTTTAAAAAATGTTTTAAAGTTTTAAAACAAATTTAAACAACACCACACACCANACACACACACACTCTCTCTCTCTTCTCAAACCGACCAAACCAATTCATTTCTCTCTCTCTCTCTCTCTCTCTCTCTCTCTCTCTGTCTCTCTCTCTCTCTCTCTGTCTCTCTCTCTCTCTCTCTCTGCGGCAGCCGGGCTGGGCTGTCTGGGTGCCGATCGTCGGGTCATTAGGCTGGCTGTTTGATTCGCTGGTGGTGGTGGTGGTGGTGGTGGTTGGTTGGTTGGTGTGATGGATGGGGTAGATTGAGCGACGATTCGAGGAGTCTTTCAGTTGGCAGTCACAGCCTTTTTTTTGTGGTTCCGCTACCACTGAACTTGACGGTCCACGATCCAGTGACGCGCCACAACGCCGCCATGGTGTCGCCTTGGGTCGTGTGCAGTCTACTTGTGGTGATGGGACCAGCAGTGGTTCACGCCGGTGACGAATCAATGATCACGACTGATGCGCAGGGTAACCTCGTTATCAACGCCTCGTCAACAGGTGGAGATAAACGAATTTGGATGAACGGAGTCGATGTACTTCGGGAGCTGGCTGAGCTCCGCGAGATCTTGCTGGACCACAAAACAACACCGACAACATTGACCCCCAGCACCACGGCCGCTCCCACGAACGCGCCTGTGACGTATACAGGCGATATCGGCTGTGGACTGGAGAACGTGCCCTCGGATGTGACGCATATCTTGGGCAACGTCAGCCTGATTTCGTGCCCCCTTCTGACAGCAAATGATCTCCTGCAAGCTTTTGGCAAGCTTGTTCAAGTGAGCGGGGACTTGACAGTAAGAGTGAGTTTCGATGGAGGATCATTGTCTGTTGTCTGTACATTGATGGGCGCGAACTGTATACCACGTCCCATCCTATTGAGGATTTCGCGGTGTAGCGATGTGAGCTCATCATCAATGGCTCTGAATGCAATGCGATCATCCCAACTTTCGATGAGCTCATGACATGTGTGAGAGGCACCAATCGGGAAAGATGAGCAATTTTGAGCGACTCAGTTTGTGCTCTGTTGATGGTTGCAGGACAATGGCGCCCTGATTCATTTGGATGGGCTTGCAACTCTCACCAGCGTTGGCGGCGATTTGAATATTCGTGTACGTTGTCGCATGAGAGCGCATGGGCTTGATGTGACATGTGTTGACGAGGAGGGCAGCAAACTGGGACGATTGAGTGTGGGTCTGATGTGATGTGGTTATTCTCTGGCTGTCGCAGAACAATTACAACCTGACCAACGTGGACGGCCTGGGCAATATCACCAGCGTGGGCAGCTCCTTGAGCATTGGTGTACGTTGTGGCATGAGGGGGCATGAGATTGGTGGACGAGGAGGTCCGCGGACTGAGACGATTGAGTGTGTTTGTGAGGGTCTGATGTGATGTGTTGTTTCTCTGGCTATCGCAGAACAATGTCGCCCTGACCAACGTGGACGGCCTGGGCAATATCACCAGCGTTGGCGGCTACTTGAGCATTCTAGTACGTTGTGGCATGAGAGGGCATGAAATTGACGTGACGTGTGTGAACGAGGAGGTCAGAATTAGATGTGTTTGTGAGGGTCTGATGTGATGTGTTATTTTTCTGGCTGGCGCAGGGCAATGGCGCCCTGACCAACGTGGACGGCCTGGGCAATATCACCAGCGTTGGCGACTATTTGAGCATTACGTACGTTGTGGCATGAGAGGGGATGAAATTGATGTGACGTGTGTGAACGAGGAGGTCCGTGGACTGGGACAATTGGGTGTGTTATTGACCGTTTGATGTGATGTGTTATTTCTCTGGCTGTCGCAGAGAAATGCCGCCCTGACCAACGTGGATGGCCTTGGCAGTATCACCAGCATTGGCGACTACTTATACATTGGTGTACGTTGTGGCATGAGAGGAAATGAAATTGATGTGTCGTGTGTGGAAGAGCAGGTCCGCGGACTTGGAGAGTTGGATGCGTTTGCGAGGGTCTGATGTGATGTGTCATTTCTCTGGCTGTCGCAGAACAATGGCGACCTGACCAACGTGGACGGCCTTGGCAATATCACCTGGTTGGCGGCTACTTGAGCATTGCTGTACGTTGTCGCTTGAGAGGGCCTGAAATTGAGGTGACGTGTGTGGACGAGCAGGTCCGCGGACTGGGAGAATTGGAAGTGTTTGCGAGGGTTGGATGTGATATGTCATTTTTCTGGCTGGCGCAGGGCAATGACGTCCTGACCAACGTGGACGGCCTGGGCAATATCACCAGCGTTGGTGACTACTTATACATTGGTGTACGTTGTCGCATGAGAGGAAATGAAATTGATGTGTCGTGTGTGGAAGAGCAGGTCCGCGGACTTGGAGAGTTGGATGTGTTTGCGAGGGTTGGATGTGATGTGTCATTTCTCTGGCTGTCGCAGAACAATGGCAACCTGACCAACGTGGACGGCCTTGGCAACATCACCAGCGTTGGCGGGTATTTGACCATCTACGTACGTTGACGTATGAGAGGGGATGAAATTGATGTGACGTGTGTGAACGAGGAGGTCCGTGGACTGGGAGAATTGGGTGTGTTATTGACCGTTTGATGTGATGTGATATTTCTCTGGCTATCGCAGAACAATGACGCCTTGACCAACGTGGACGGCCTGGGCAATATCACCCGCGTTGGTGGCTACATGAGCATTGGTGTACGTTGTCGCATGAGACGGCATGAAATTGATGTGACGTGTGTGGAAGAGCAGGTCCGCGGACTGTGAGAGTTGGATGTGCGTTTGAGGGTCTTGATGTGATGTGGTATTTTTCTGGCTGTCGCAGGGCAATGGCGCCCTGACCAACATGGACGGCCTGGGCAATATCACCAGCGTGGGCAGCTCCTTGAGCATTGGTGTACGTTGTGGCATGAGGGGGCATGAGATTGGTGGACGAGGAGGTCCGCGGACTGAGACGATTGAGTGTGTTTGTGAGGGTCTGATGTGATGTGTTGTTTCTCTGGCTGTCGCAGGACAATGGCAACCTGACCAACGTGGACGGCCTGGGCAATATCACCAGCGTTGGCGGCCACTTGAGCATTCAAGTACGTTGACGTATGAGAGGGCATGAAATTGACGTGACGCGTGTGGACGAGGAGGTCCGTGGACTGGGACAATTGGGTGTGTTATTGACCGTTTGATGTGATGTGTTATTTCTCTGGCTGTCGCAGAACAATGCCGCCCTGACCAACGTGGGCGGCCTTGGCAATATCACCAGCGTTGGCGGCGACTTATACATTGGTGTACGTTGTCGCATGAGAGGGGATGAAATTGACGTGACGCGTGTGGACGAGGAGGTCCGTGGACTGGGACAATTGGGTGTGTTATTGACCGTTTGATGTGATGTGTTATTTCTCTGGCTGTCGCAGAGAAATGCCGCCCTGACCAACGTGGACGGCCTTGGCAATATCACCAGCATTGGCGACTACTTGAGCATTGGTGTACGTTGTCGCATGAGAGGGGATGAAATTGATGTGACGTGTGTGGACGAGGACCGGGACAATTGGGTGTGTTATTGACCGTTTGATGTGATGTGTTATTTCTCTGGCTGTCGCAGAGAAATGCCGCCCTGACCAACGTGGACGGCCTTGGCAGTATCACCAGCGTGGGCGACTATTTGAGCATTGGTGTACGTTGTCGCATGAGAGGGGATGAAATTGATGTGACGTGTGTGAACGAGGACTGGGACAATTGGGTGTGTTATTGACCGTTTGATGTGATGTGTTATTTCTCTGGCTGTCGCAGAGAAATGCCGCCCTGACCAACGTGGACGGCCTTGGCAGTATCACCAGCGTGGGCGGCGCTTTGAGCATTTGTGTACGTTGTCGCATGAGAATCAATGAAATTGCCTATGTGACGTTGTGTGAACGATCACAGGGACAATTGGGTGTGTTATTGACCGTTTGATGTGATGTGTTATTTCTCTGGCTGTCGCAGAGAAATGCCGCCCTGACCAACGTGGACGGCCTTGGCAGTATCACCAGCGTGGGCGACTATTTGAGCATTGGTGTCCAACTCTCGCATGAGAGGGGATGAAATTGATGTGACGTGTGTGAACGAGGACTGGGACAATTGGGTGTGTTATTGACCGTTTGATGTGATGTGTTATTTCTCTGGCTGTCGCAGAGAAATGCCGCCCTGACCAACGTGGACGGCCTTGGCAGTATCACCAGCGTGGGCGGCGCTTTGAGCATTTGTTCCAACTCTCAACTTGACACATCAATGGTACCTGCCTCTGTTCGATCGTTGGGCACATGCCAACTCATCACGAGCGGAGCTTGCAGCTCTTGCTGAACTGCTGCAAGTTATTGCTAGCTTTTTTCTGAAGTTTCGGGTTTTGGCTACAAGCTAAGTCCAATTTGACTACAAGCACTGACCGGTTCAGGAAGCTATCGCTGCCGACGCTGCTTGTTATATCAAATCATCGTAAATCTGTTCACTATGGGCCCGCCGCCCGTAATTGGCAGTGTGCTCTGAATGTTTCCTTTATATGTTCATGCTCTTTATTGCTCTTCCAAACACAATCGTATCGTTTCACTGATTCCTTAAGGAAGCCAATCTATTGGAGAACAAGCATCGACCACCTACCAGAACCTTCTGAAAGGATCCGGTCCCTTTGGCTTGGGTCCATCATGCTCTCCCTCCTCTTCAGTGAGCCGAGCTGAGTTGTCGAGCCAGTGTGCCAGTTGTCGTGCCAACCGTGAAAACGGATCAAATAAAAATAAAAAATAAAATTTCAAAATGAATCCGGTTGTCAATGCATCCCGAGCCTCCTAGCCGTTGGCGCCGAGGTCGTCGGCCTTCTCCTTCGACCGTTTTCTTGTTGTCAACCAACAAGTCAATGCGAATTGTCCAACATCAGGACTGTTGGCTGGCGTTGCCTCTCAAGGTTGAAGATTGCGCTCAGCCCTGCTTCTTGTCATTGCGGCTCGCCGGAACCCTGCGCCCTGGCTGCCCTTTCTCATCACCTGTTGGCTGAACAACTTGTCACCCCCAGCCACGCGTCTCTCGACCCTTAAGGATTTCAGTGGTATATGAAAAAAAACAGAACGCCGTGAAAGGTGTATCTCTGAAATGTGTCGAGATGCGCTCACACTCATCACCGTGAAGGGATTCATGGTCATCACCTCATTTCCCCTCATGACGACGTGTCTGACATTTTCCGCCACGGAGGAACACACTCTCTACCCGATGCATCGATTCTGATGACATCTCTCAAAAGCCGTTGTATTTAGCTTGTGGAGTTTATGGAAGTCGCCTCGAATCTCTGAAAGTGAGGCAGGGACACGAGCATCTCTCTTCTTCTCTCTCTCACTGCGAACGCGCGCTCTCTCTCACACATTTTCGACGCCGACGGCTGCGCAGCGGATCGACCACTGGAGCTGTTTGCGAGATCAAGAGCTCTACCGTCACAGCGTCACAGGGTGCAAGGTGTGCATTTTGCATTCTCCTAGCGCGCGTACTAGCAGAGACCGCTTGCAGCGTGGGATCGAGTGATGCGTGCGGAGTCTTGTTTGGTGCTGCTGGCCTGCATTTGCTTGTTGGGGCGTGCCTCTTCCGCAGCCGCGCCTGCCGCCGACGCTTGTGTCGCCGATTCCGCCCGTGGTTGTGCCACCAGCGAGCTTCCAGCTTCATCGCCGGCCAGTGCCCACCCCTACGCCACCATGGCTCTCTTGCGCAAAGTTCCCGCCGACTCGCTCTTCGTCTCCGAGCCCGACCCCAGCTGGTTTGGCAACGGGCCCAACCCCTCCAGCAACCCTCACTGGACCAACAAAAACTGGTGCGTGTGCGTCCCCCTCGGGTCCTTCCCGCTTGAAAGAACGACGCTGTGTTTTAAGCTATTGTTGAGTGTGGGTGGATTCACAAGAATGATCAAAATCTTGATTCTCAACCTTGTGGCTCTCCTGCACACACACATGGCGCGCGTAACAAATGCGCGCATGGGCTAGGCTCAAGTCGCGGTTTCACTTTTCTTTCGCCGAGTATCATGACCGTGCGCGAAGCCAATTTGGTGTCCTTCGTGTCATGAATGACGATTTGGTCCAGCCCGTCCGTGGGTTTGGCACCCACCCGCATGCCAACATGGTCCGCTCCACCTCCTGCGCACGCCCGGTGCCCTTGCTGCTCCCATGCTCGATCTGACCGCCCTCCTTCTTTCCCGACCCTCAACATAGGAAATCTGCACCTACATTGTGAGCGGAGATCTGACGCACCAGGACTCGATGGGCACGCGCGAAACTCTGGGTCCGCGTGGCATTCAGTTTATGACAGCCGGCACGGGCGTGCGCCACAGCGAGTTTAACACCGATGACACTCATCCACTTCGCTTCATTCAAATGTGGATGGTGTGTTGTGCCGGGGTTGCTTTGGTCATTTGTGACGCGTTCCATCCCGAGCTCCTTTGGAACTACTCTTTTTTTTTCCTTCCAAGCCTCCTACACGTTGATGGGAGCAGACAGCTGATGCGCTTTGAATTTGACTAGGTACCGCGCTCGCGCAACTTGGAGCCCAACTACGGTTCCATGGTCGGCGATCGGGAGCGTCAGCACAACAAGTGGGCTCATTTGGTGGCTGACGTCAAGAATACATCGGCAGACACGCCCGTCAAGATCAACCAAGACGCCAACATTTGGGTCACCGTAAGCGTTCACATTGCATTCCTTGCGCTAGAATTTTCATGCGCGCAGTGCGGCTCATGACTTGGCCCCGTGTGACAGGAGCTGGATGAAGGCAAGGAGAGCACCTTTGAGCTGCGTGAGGGTCGCCAAGCCTACATTCTTTGCCTCGAGGGTGCGACAACCCTCACGGCAGCTTCAGCAGCCTCTGGCACCAGCGCCCAGGAAAAGCTGGTGGCCCATGATGCCACCCAAGCCTTTGGCGCCGCTACCCTGACATTTGCAGCGACTGGCAGCGAAGGTGTGCATGTGCTCATGGTGGAGATGGCGGCGGCTCCGCTCTGAGCCGTCTTTTTGCCTGTTTTTGTATTCGAGTTGTCTTTTGATCGATGAATTGCATTTTATACGACATGCATGTACATAATATTTGTAAAGCCAAGAAGGGAATCCTAGCGGGGCGGAAGGTCATCTTGCATATCAATTTGATTCGTCTGGACTCGACAGGCTCTCATCCACCCGCGACTCATCTCGCGGCGATTATTTTGGCTCTTTTACTTTGATTCTTTTTGCCACCCCTGGACAGAGCCCAGGAGATGCTCAATGTGGCTTGACTTGTACTCGTCGGGGTATTCTACAATGGCCATGCTATGGGTGCGTAGCACACGGTTTGCGGAATGGGTGCCACACCAGCAGAGAGGTCAGGCAAGAAGCACACCGAGAAGAAGACGAACGCCTCTGTGTTCACGGATCAATCGATGACGGATCGATCGATGCGTTGGACTATGCTCTGGGGTGCCTGGGGCAGGAGACGCACCTGTGGCGGGCCTTTGGAAAGACCACTTCGGAGACGGTGGCGGAGCTACGGGCGCGAAGATCACGAGCAAAGCTGCGGACGTATTCAAGATCCAAGACTGGGTCGTTGTGACCGTGCATGAGGCAAATGTGGGCGTTGCGAGGGACGACCGAGGTCTCGCCAAACATTCGGTTGTGATTTTCCTGGAGCCATTTGTCCGTGATGCCCTGGTACTTCACAAAGGGGATGAAGAGGGGGCGGCCGACCGTCTGCCAGGGCAAGAGAGAAACGGCCGGGTGGAAATGAGGTGATAGCCGGCAGCATATGGGGTTTAGGGTCGGCCTTTGGGGTGTGGGGTTTGGGATCGGACCTTGAGCCAAGGTTGTTGGAGGGCAAAGGAGGCCCAGCCGGCAAAGGCGTCAAGATCAGCTTTGGGGGGACAGCTATCAAAGGCAATGGCTCGGAGATTGCGTTCACAAAATTCGCGGCCCATAAAGTTCATGACGTAGAGGGAGATGAAGAAGCTTCCGGAGACGCAGTGGAATAGCATTTCTTGGTCCCGTTCCTGGTGCAGGCATGAAATCGGGGTTGAGAGTGGTGTGGGATGAGGGCGGGGTGGGGTGGGGCGAGCGACGGCGATGAGGTGCAGGGCAGACCAGGAGAATTTCGGCGAGCTTGCGGCCGTGTTCGTCTCCATAAGCGGGCCTGGTCATTTCCGTTACTGCAAATGTCCCAAAGTCAAGGGAATGGTTGGTACGGGCGAGAGGGGGAGGAAGAAGCAGACTAATGGAGGAGGCTTCAGGGCGGGATCGGGTCTGTACCTTTGTGAAACAGGGGCATGGTTTCAAACCCATGTTCTTGGTAGATGGCTTCGTGCTTGGCCATCTGGGGTAAACGCAAGGGGCACGATCGATCGTGGCGCGGTGAGCTGCCGATGCGGGCTGTGCAAGAGGCATTGGCTCGTTTGGGGTGTCATGCAGGTTGTCGTCTGATTCAAGAGGGGGTGTAGAGTGGTCGTCTTTCGAGAACACAGAGAGGGTTGGAGGAGATGATGGAAAGCGGGGATCGTGGAGGGACGGAGAGGGAAGCATGAAGGAGGGAGGGTAGGGATGGGGGGGGGGGGGGCAA